GGGGGCCGACCGGGGGGGGGGGCCTCGCAAGGGGGGGGGCGGGGGGGCTGCTCCGGCCGGCGGGTGTCCTGCCCGCCCCCCCCGCCTTGGCCCTGGGAGGACGGTGCCCGGAGGTTTATTTAACCGGGGGAGCTGGGAGCTGGCTCCCTTTGTAAGCGTTCTTCCATTTCCAGCTCGAATTGTTAAAAACAACCTACTGTCAACCTATAAACTCGCTGAGTGAAAAGACAGATTGTGCCAGGGAAATTTCCATTACAGCCTCCAGTATATTACATTTCCATTACATTCTTCAATAGATGCTTTTAAATACCGTAATACCGTTGGGATAGCCGGGTGATTAAAGGTGATAGGAAAAGAAGCGAGTAATTAAAAGGACACATGTAAGCGAGTGCTGGAAAAGGCAGGGACTTGTGACCCTTGCCGTGGCGGGGCGCGGGGCTCTCCGGCGGGACCCGAGCCAGAGTTCACGTTGTTATTTAACACTTTATCACCGACAGCACGCAGCGAGCGCGCTTTACCCCTTCTCCGAGCCATTTAGGCGCAGCCACATGGCCAACAGCCCCCTTCCCGCTCTCTGCCCCTGCGCTCTCCTCCGCACCCGGGAGCGCAGCAGCGGCTGCTCGGCCCCCCCCGCGGAGGCTCGGCGCGGGAGGCGCCAGGCGCGGCCCGGGCGAGCGCCGGCCTCGTCCCCGGGCTCCCCCTTCCCCTCCGCCCTCCGGCCGCCCGGTTCCACCTTAAATAACTCGGGTTTTTGGTCCCCAACGCGCCCTGTAGTTCAGGTTTTTGTCCTCCCCGCAGCAGCTGTCACCCTGCATTATTCGCAGTCAGCTAAATGAAACATTATTCTAAACATATGCATCGTAATCAGTTCGGTCACACTTACAAGAACACGCGTTAATAAGGCAATCAATCACCCTGGAACAAGCAAGTTCTTCTGTAACAGCTCATAAACAGTGTGTAATGAAGAATTGGAGGTTAGCATGACATGCGTTGATCAGATAATCAATGTCAAAGATGCGATGAATGTCAGTAAATGTAGTTTTCATGTCGTTTCTATAAAATCTTCAATTTACAACAAGCAGTTCAATTACCCAGAAAATACAGTCAATTAAATAGGGGTGATTGGACAGTAGGGGGTGGATCATCGATCTTTGCATTTCTATCTCGCTGGTGGACATTTAATTTGGTTTTTCTATTAGCGCCGAAATAAAGAAAATATAAAATATATTAAACAACCCACAGATTTATTTTCTTGTCAAAAACAATTCGGGCTTGATGACAGACAGTCTTCTTGCATTTTATGATGAATTATTTTTTCATTCTTTGCACACTAGAGACAAAAAAATATGCTGTTATTTTGGACAGGGTTTTTTTGGCCACTGTCTTTTCCTGTTTGCTTTCCCATCTATCTCAATGCTTTTGTTTTTAAGGGTTACAACCCCCGCGTTAGCAAAGAGCACAGAAAAGCAGAGTGATACATCACCAGTCCAAATGTGCAACTATAATCGTATTTCTTTAATGGGGGGCGTTCAGGGAAAAAAAAAAAAAAAAAAAAAAAAAGAAAAAAAAAAAGGGAAAGAAAAAAGGAGGGGAGAAAAAAACCCAACTTATCTAAGAAAAGCCCAAGGGATCACTCCAGTCTATATTTAACCAAACTGCAATTAAAGACAGTATCAGCTTGTATCATTTAGAGCTAATGCAATAATAATGGTAAATTACAGGGCCAAAATGGCTTGTGATAGCAGCCTCCGTATTCCCAATAGTTTCCACGTCGTTGTAATTAATGCCAGGGTGAGCAGTTGGTGAAAGAAAATTTCGCGGAAGGGACATCTCGGCGTTCAAATCGAATAGAAATAGACTGCTTTGCACACACCATTGACTCTTGCATTTTTCCATCGAAATATCGATTTTACGGCCGATCTGTAAATATACGAACAGTTGGGCCGAGCGGGAACGGCGGGGGGAGAGGGCGGCAGCGGCGGCGGCGGCGGCCCGGGCGGGGGGGGGGGGGGGGGCCCGGGCCCCCCCCCGCGGTTCTCCGCCGAGCGGCGGCCGCAGCACCGCTCCCGCCTGACAAATGGAGAGCGCGCTGCGCGCTGGAAAAAGCCCCGGGATTTTGCTGGGTGCCTTCTCGACACTAGATGAAAGGCGCACCTTTTCCAGGCTGAAGGACGATTAATATTTTCTCGGCTAAATGGGAAGGCCGGGCACGGACAAAAGCGTAAAAAGCGGACGAAATCATTTCTCCCCGTTGTTTTTCTTACGGAAGAGCTCTGTAATATTTGTAAACACACATCCGTTTAGCCAGCCAATTAATGTTAAACCAATGTTTGGACTTCGTACACATCTGCTATAAACATGAGTAATGCATAGCATTCGCAGTAAAAATACTGATTAGTATGAATTAATCCATCTGATATGTGTATTAAAAGGCATTTAAATATGTTGTTTTAAGAAGTTCTCATAACCCTGGATGCCATATTTAAAAACAAACATCAGTACGCAATGTTTTGCAGCCTCTTAAACAAATAATCCCGCTTTGATTTAAATAACATTTATTTTACATGACCAAACACAATAAATAACGTAATATACAAAGCTTTATAATTATTGCACATTTGTAAAATATTTTACAGTGAGTTCATACAGCCAGCAATATTTAAAGCACAAAGACTTTATTTACAGTTTCATATAATAACCAGGTCCAACGGACCTAACATAAAACGAATTTATGTTAATTTTACCAACCAGCGTCCTCATCGATCATTTAATAGACATATATCTATATTTTGGAAAAATGTAAACATTATTGCCAAAATCGTCGTATATACATCCCATACGTGTGTGATCATAACAAACGATTCCAACGATCGAAAAGGTTAAGCTGGTAAAAGAGTGCTACGTTTTGGTCTATTTTCTTTAGCCTTAAATTATATATTAATAAAAAAATTTCAATGTAAACTCAGTGAACAACAGCTGGTATAATCGATTTTTTTTTTTTTTTTTTACATAAGTAGTCTTCCTAGTCGTTCTTTACAAAATGAGAAATTTGTGGGTTAGGTGTCTTCTACCGTGCTTTAAAGTTCTCTACCCAGAAAATGTACACCTCTTGTCAGGAATCCGCTCCAGGAGCCTGGGGATGTTTCTCCTTTGCCCTTCCCTACCCCCGCCCAAGAAACCTGTCCCGTTGGACAAAAAAAACCCTACGATTTATGTTCACTGAACAAAACAGCATAGCCTTTATAGTCATTTCCTGAAAGGCCCTTATTAGAATATGAAAAAATCCAGTGTCTTAAAAATAGAAGTATTTCGGGACACTTATTCGAAATATATAATAGAGATTTTTTTTTTACTTTTTTTTTTTGTGAGAGTGTACGTGTGTGTGTGTGTGTGTGTATTCACATTCACACAGGGCCTAAACAAGCAATAGCAAGTTAGATGAGGGCTTCAACTCTTCAGAAACATCTCATTATGTGAAGAGTGAAGTGGCTCTGTAGGGAGCATTATGGAAATATCTGGGTTTGATTTAATGAGGCTCTTCACATTGGTGGAATATCAACTTAACAGAGAAAAGTCTACCCGGGGCGTCCAAGTTACCAAAATGAAAATTGGCAATTGAGATGATAAGAAAGTGGCTTTCTTGTGCGAAATCACTTCAGGTAACAGAGATAACATTAAATAACATACATTCTATGCACCAAGAACAATGTTTTATGTACCAAGTCTCTTATCTGTCTCTTCTAATGACTTCCCTTAGCGGGTTGTTAGTACTTGACAGCAGGTCTCTGTGCGGGGAACTTTTTTCCAATTCCACATTCAAAGGAGGTCCATCAGAGAACATGATTGGCAATTTTCGTCATAATCTGCACATTATTAGCATCAAAATTGACATGGCAGTAACACTGGTGGTTTTTGATGTGCCTTTCTTCAAGTTCAAGGAAGTCCCTCCAGTAGCAGTGGTTTGGTATAGCAGGTCTCGGTTACCCAGTGGTGGCTTTTCAGAGGCAAAGGCGCGATAGAGATGCGTGAGAAATAAATCCAAGAGCCGTTTTAGCGAGAGGAGAGAAAGACGCTAAGAAAAAAAATCAAATTTAGAAAAGTGTCTGGAAGGTAAATGCTTCAGGACGACAGCCTACACCTAGAGAGATTCAAGTATTTCCCAGATAGCGTGGATTATGGTAGTTAGAAAGCGTGAGCCTAAAAAATGCCTCTCCCCATCCTGTCAATCTCACACTTCCCTTCCCGTTACTGGCCCGGCCGCGGCAGCCCCGTTAGCCACCGCTTGTCGTACGGAAATACGCGAGACGTTTCCCATTTAGTCGAACTCAAACCGAAATAATAAGAATTAAAAAGAAACAATTAAACAAAAAAGCCAGAAACACATTCCCTTCCGCCGGCTCTCCCTCCCTGCGCCCG